CTTGGCTATGGTGGATGGGTGAAGGAGATGGAGGTGGAAGGAGTGAAGGTGCTTGGCTATGGTGGATGGGTGAAGGAGGTGGAGGTGGAAGAAGGGGTGAAGGTGCTTGGCTATGGTGGATCCCAAACTTCTGGTTTCTACCTGCTTACGTGGTCTTACTGTCCGAACCAACAGAAAACCCAGACTTGCGAAATTCAGACTTGCACAGACACTTAGACTTTGCAAAACTGAGACTTGCAAGGAAAATTCAGACTGCGAAAAAGTCAGATTTGCGGTTTTTCAGTTTTTGCCAATTTCGCTAGGGGGGCAGAGCCGAAAAACACAGATTTCTGTTTGGTGACCCAAACGATATGAGATGTCCATGTAACTTCATAGGCCCTCTGTCTATACCCTAATGAAGACCTCTCTAAAATTTGACCGGATTCCGTTGCCGTATGCCCCTACTTGCCTGTTTTCGGGCACCATCCGAGGCTCTAAGTGAATAGTTCGAGGAAGTCCATTTCCCGTTTTTGTGGGAAAATGGACCCAGATGGCCTATCAGTTTTGCAGGCCATCTATATATGCCTAGGATATGGGGTCTGTTCAGTCCCAGCCCCCATATCCTTTGTTTGGCGGGGTTAGTTTTTACCATCCCCTGGCCGCACCGACCCATTGGCCACTTCGGGCCGGCCTCCGCCCGGGGGGCTGGACAACGGTTTTCTCAGCAGCAGCAGCAGCAAGGCTTTGGCCAGGCATCAGTAGCAACAACAGTAGCCTCAGTATCAGTAGCAGTAGCAGCAGCAGCAGCCACAGTCCCCTACCTACTCCCCTCTCTTATCATGTTCAAATAGAGCACAGGGGGGGGGGGGKGAAACGATGTTCAAACAAAGGATGGGGGGGGGATCAGTGTGTCATTCAAATAGAGCACATGGAGAGGTGAGCTGTCACAGATACACAATATCTACTCAGTTCAAAAAAATGGACAAGGATTGAGGTTGCACTTCACATCCAAGTGAAAATTCGACAAGGTATAGAGGGGGGGAGTGAGTGAAGCTCACTCCCAAGCTTTGAAAACACAAAGAGCAAAGTGGTGAAACACTTTGCTTCGGGAAAATTGACAAAGCAGAATTATATGATGATATGAACACTTAAGAAGAGCAAGAACAAAAGTGGCGGATCGCCCCCAAGTGCAGGCTTGAGCAAGGGATGAAGGGAGAGTGAGTGAAACTCACTCTCAAGCTAGGGACACAAAATACAAAGTGCTGGATCACAATGGAAGGGGAAAATGGATAATGCATGAGTAGATGATGAATACAAGAGCAAAACAAGCAAGAACAATAGTGGCGATTCACTCCCAAGTGCAAATTTGAACAAAAGATGAAGAGAGTCAAGCTAGGAAACTTAAAACACAAAGTGTCGGATGACAATGGAGAGTTAAAATGGACAATGCATGAGTAAATGATGACTACAACATTGGAATAGGCAAGGCCAAAAACTGCGATTCATTCACAAGTGAAAATTTGAGCAAAAGATGAAGGGAGAGTGAGTGAAACTCGCTCTGAAGCTAGGAAACTTCAAACATAAAGTGTCGGATTACAATGGAGAGTGAAAACGGACAATGCATGTGTAGATGATGGCTAGGACACTAGAATAAGCAAGGACAAAAGTGGCGATTCGCTACTGATTGAAAATTTGAATGAAAGGTGAAGAGGAAACTCACTCTCAAGCTAGGATACTTAAACCAGAAAGTGCCGGATTACAATGGAGAGTGAAAATGGACAATACACGAGTAAATGATGACTACAACACTAGAATAAGCAAGGCCAAAAGTGGCGATGCATTCCCAAGTGAAGATTTGAGCAAAAGATGAAGGGAGAGTGAGTGAAACTCACACCCAAGGTAGGAAACTTCAGACACAAAGTGTCGGATTACAATGGAGAGCTAGGCTACCAGCCAGACCGCCTGGGTCCCCGGTGGCCAGCCCGTGCAAGGACCAGGGAAGACCCCAGCAAAAAAAAAAAAAAAAAACAGAAAATTCCAAAACCTTCGAAAGAAAACTATGTTATGCAGAAAAATAAACTGAACAACTTTTGCCCTATGGGTCACATCGAAATTCTTCACCGAATTTAGAATAAAAAATAAAAAATACAAATATTATTATTATTATTATTATTATTTTTGGCCCAGCCGGGCAAGTGACCCCAGGCCAATCTGGTAGCCTAGATGGAGAGTAAAAATGGAATAAGCAAGGATAAAAGTGGTGATTCACTACTAAGTGAAGATTTGAGCAAAAGATGGAAAGTGAATGAAATTCACTCTCAAACTAAACTCAAACCACAAAGTGTCGGATTGCAGTGGAGAGTGAAAATGGACAATGCATGTGTAGATGATGGCTAGGACACTAGAATAAGCAACGACAAAAGTGGCGATTCACTACTAAGTGAATATTCGAGCAAAAGATGAAGGGAGAGTGAGTGAAACTCAAAACACAAAGTGCCGAAATTCAATGGAGAGTGAAAATGGACAATGCATGTGTAGATGGTGGCTAGGATATTAGAATAAGCAAGGACAAGAGTGGCGATTCACCCCCAAGTGAAGATTTGAGCAAACGATGAAGGGAGAGTGAGTGAGACTCACTCTCAAGCTAAGAAACTCGAAACACAAAGTGCCGGATTACAATGGAGATTGAAAATGGATAATGCATGAGTAAATGATGACTGCAACTTTAAATCAAGCAAGGACAAAAGTGAACTCCTAACTGAAGATTTTAGCAAAAAATGAAGGGAGAGTGAGCGAAACTCACTCTCAAGCCAGGAAACTCAAAACACAAAGTGTCGGATCACAATGGAAGGGGGGAATGGACAATATGGAGGCAATCTCTAGTGGAGAAGCTACTTCCTACTTGCCCCATGCTTAGTATGTTAATTATGGAGAGGAAGAAAGAGGAAGAGAGGGAGGGAGGAAATGAAGTAAGATGAAAAATAATTAGGAGAAAAAGAAAAGGATGAAGAGGAACGAGAAGATGAGGATGAAGGGGAAGGAGAAGATGAGGAAGAGGAAGAAGAAGAAGAAGAAGAAGAAAGAAAAAGAAGAAGAAGAAGATGAAAAGGAGAAGAAGAAGAAGTTCCCCACTCACCTCCTCTAATATCTTGAGATGAAGATGCCAATCTTGGTGAAACCTTTTGTCCCTTGCACACTTGCAGACCAACTATGGCTTCCTTCTTCTCCAAACCCTCATCTCCTTCCTTCCCCAGCCTCTCCCAAGCTATGGCAAGCTCCTACCACTAAGGCTATGGATTCCTCTCTAGGAGAGCTAAGTGGACCCTCACTAGCCTTTCTCTCTCTCTCACAGCGTGGGGGCTATGGCGGATCACTTCCCTAGGCTGGCACAACCTCCACTAGTTTCAACAACCTCTCTCACTAGCCTTCGGCCTCCACCGAACTTCCAAACTAGCAGCGGCCCCCCTCCTCTCACTCCGGTTGTATGTCGAACTCCCTTGGGCTCATGCAGGTAGCATGTACTTGCCTCATGCAAATGTGAGTGTGGCAGGCTGCTCCCCCAACTTATGTAGGTTGGGCACAACACTTCAGCCAGCCCATGAGCCTCTTCATGTGCCTCAAAGTGAACCGAGGTACCCCCAAGGCTTCTTTCCTTCCCTAGGCCTCTCCGGGAGCACATGGGCCTCTTTTCGGCAGGTACATGCAATCCGAATGGTTGGTACCAACTCGGCCTCCCTCTAGAGTCTCCCCATGCCTTATTTTTATTTTCAGATGCTGCCCCTTGGCTCCGAATATCCAAGGGGCAACCCTACTTGAAAGGTCTACCCCAATTTGAGTAGGCCGAGGTATTTCCTTGTACCTTGGTGCTATATCAGCCTTGGATCTGGCTGGGATTCAAGGCCAACATTAATCCAAGCTACCCCCAAGTGGTCCTTACTTCAGATTTGAGCCCCAAGGCTCACTTTTTCAATTTTTTGTGCATATGGCCTTCTTTCTCGGCCAAGTGCACTGTTTCGTCATTTTCCTTATTTTTCTTCTTTCCATTTTGGGCTGCCAACTCATTTCGGAGTTGGCCGTTTGAGCTGGCCTCACAAAAAACGGCCATATCCTCTCCTCCTTCAGATCTGATCTCAGATCCATGGCCTAGAAAAAGAGCGACCAACTTCTTTTTGCTTTTTTTTTCAATTTTGACTTTTTAATTCAGATATTGTTGAGATAATGCCCCAACGGCCTTATCTTTTCATCCGGATTGCCCTCCACTAAATCCCGAGTGATGAGGTCATTGCCAGTCACTACTGTGCTAGTCCCAAGTGGCCGGCACATCCTCCTCCACTCTTTTTTCTTCCTTTGGCTTGGATCCCACTGGCCGGCGGCGT